ATCAGATGGTCGAGCAATCATCACGCCAACATCCAACGCACGTGATGAAATTGCAGCAATTATCGACTCGAGTGTCGGCCATCAAGCAATGATCACACCAAGTGTGACGATCCCGGATGAAGGGGGGAGCCGTGAATGTTCATAGGTATGCGGTAGCATGGCTAATGCATCCTATAAATACCGCAGCCCCTTGTGTAACAACCACCCGTTTCTGCTTTTTTGTCTCTGATGATGGATTCGAGCAGGAATCCGATACGTCAGGCTAATAAAGTTCTTCTCCCGGCGACCGTGTCTCCTTTTTCAAGGTGAGCATATTGTCCTTTTCCTTACATGCCACAATATAACCAACAATTAGCAGCTCTTATTTCAGGGAAGAAGGACGGAATAAACTTGTATCAATGAACATTTCGATTTTTCACTCAGTTCCTGTGTTATTCGTTTGTCAAGATTTCATCACGTCTCATGGGTTTATTTGCGCGACAAGTCATTGCTGAATGTTCACTGAAGTAGTTTGAAAGGGGTTCTTCACAAAAACCCCTCCCAGCTGATTTTAACTAGCATTCGGAGGGAACACCCAACTTCCAGCTCTTTACAACTAAGATTCCCGACAGGACACCCACTGAACCACAGTTGGTTCATGCGGTGGGCGGATAACTTGACCCAAATGTGATTATACTCACTGCTCCCGATGGGGCCTTGGGCTCAGGTGGAAGAACGTTGGCTGAGCTAGATCGCAGTTAATAGCCAGGAATGGGGAAGCGGATGACGACCTTAACCCTAATCCTAGCCTCAACCTTAAACGTTAACCGTTAACCCTAACGGCAATCCTAACCCTAACCGAAATCTTAAACGTAACCGTAACCCTTAGGAATAGCCGTAATTGACTAACCTAACCGTAATACTGAAATCTATTCGTACGCTCAAACCCTAACCGTAACCCGCAAACCGAAGCCTAAAGGCATAACCCTAACTCGAAAATCGGAAACCATTAACCGGTACCCTAATCCTAACCTCAAACGTAAAACGAAGGCCAAATGGGTCAGATGTGATTATGGATCCCCAGTAAACAACCCCCACCCCAGCCACCTGTAATACGGGGCCTGGCAACCAACTGCGATCTAGTCGTTGGCTGTACTAAAGCCTTGCCGTTGCTGTCGTGGTTTCGAAACCCACAGTTAGGTCAAATGCAGTTTCCCCTCCTCGAACGTGTTGTTACACTTTTGCCGCTGTTGCTTCAAGTTCTAAACCGTGCACAAATATCCCTAATCTGTATTTTTTAGAGATATGATTTTGAAATAACATGTAGCATAAGTTCAGTAAAACAAAGAATTATCACTCAGATGGTCTTAAATCTACAATTTCTATGACAACAGTATATTTTGCGTCAACATGATATTATACACGTCTGTCCTCGACAACGGAAAAACATGAGGATGACGAATACCAGATTAATCGCATAAAGTCCTTTCTGGTTGACGGCCGTCAATGTAGGCGGTTCGTTATGTCAGTTGGGATTTAAATCAATTTAGGTTATTCTACATTCCACAATCGTATTAATAACTTACAAAATAATATCAATCTCTGATGAGATACAGTACCAGGACACATTTTTCCTGAACACAGTTCATACTCGAGATTTATTCCGTTCAAAACAACCAATAGGACCATAGCCGGGAGGACAGTTAAGCATGAACGAAGTTAATTCTGGAAGTCAGCTATCAGCAACAGAGTATTTCGTAGGATTAAGAAGAGCGCCTTCCACATCGAAGTGACTTTTTTTAAGCGCATAACTAAATCACCGCATTTAGTGGGTAGGGGGGGGGGGGGCAGGGCGAGCTTACGTTCCTCAATGCAGGTACGACCGTTCTTGGCTAGATCGCAGTTGGTAGCCAGGCTCCGCGTTACAGGTGGCTGGGAGGTTAGTTTACTGGGGCCATTTTGTAGGGCTCCATAATTACATGTGACACATTTGGCTTCCGTTTTACGGTTGAGGTTAGGATTAGGGTACCAGTTAATAGTTTCTGATTCTCGGGTTGGGGTTATGCATTTAGGCTTAGGTTTACGGGTTACGGTTAGGGTTTGAACGTACGATTAGGTTTCCGTATTGCGGTTAGGTTTTTCAGTTATGCCCATGCCTAAAGGCTACAGGTACAGGGCGTGACCTATCTCCTGAAATGTTGGCTGAAATTCTGAAATGCGTTTTCGATTAGGAAGGATTACTTGGTCGCGGTTGTGATACTGATTATCATAAGGTATACTCTTAAAACATTTCGGACTCGGCAGGATGTCGGCTTTTAAATGCACTTCTTTTCAATCTCCTGTAGAAAGCGCGCTCGGTAAAAAATGACTACTTAAGTAGCATGCATTTTTCCCATTGATTTTCGATGGTCTTGGAAATTCTAATATATTTTATAGAAACCACAAACAAAAATATGCTTTCTTTCAGTCAATCCATAGAGAATCATGTCTTCTTTATATTTTATACTTAAGAAGGGGTGTAAATAGGTTTTAAAAAAGTTTTCTAATTGCCAAATAATTTGAAGCCTGATCATTCGCTGCATTAGCGCTTAGTGATTTCACTCTACGAGGTGCATGCGTTCCGCGTAAAGACAATCACATATTTCTCTATGCCATTAGGGAGATACCATACAGGGTCCATAAAATTTTGCAATGGATGCGGACCATGTTGTACATTTCATGAGAAGCAGTGGTAAACGGCCAGGTACGATGCTATGTGAATGGACATATCGCGGTCTTAAAAAGTCTCATAATTAGAAACTTTTTAAAACCTAATTATACTCCTTTCTTAAGCATAAAATATGAAGAAGACGTGATTATCTATTGATTGACTAAAAGAAAGCATATTTTTGTTCATGGTTTCTATAAACTATATTTGAATTTGCAAGACCATCAAAAATCAATGGGAAAAATGCATGCTGAATAAGTAGTCATTTTTTACCGAGTACGCTTTCTACAGGAGATTGAAAAGAAGTGCATTTAAAAGCCGACATCCTGCCGAGTCCGAAATGTTATAAGAGTATGCCTTAAGATAATCAGACTCACAACCGCGACCAAGTAATCCTTCCTAATCGAAAACACATTTCAGAATTTCAGCCAACATTTCATGAGATAGGTCACGCACTGTACGTATACGATTTCGGTTAGGGTTGCCGTTAGAGTTAACGTTTAACGTTTAATGTTGAGGTTAGGGCTAGGATTAGGGTTAAGATCGCCGTCCGCTTCACATTCCTGGCTACCAACTGCGATCTAACCCCGTTCTTCGGCGGTGCCATTAGAGGGGAGGATTCAGAGGGCGAAGCTCGGAAGCAAACGGTGTCCCCTGCATGCAGGACCTATGTCTTGCGCAACTGACTTAAGAGAAACGGCATATGCCCATAGTTTCCTCTCTTGGCGTAACTGTCGTTGTATTTCGACGACAAGGGTGTTTTATGACGGCCTCGTGCCTGTCTGATCCACATGTTAACTGACTCTTTACCGCGCCCACTTGACAGAAGACGGTCACCAGTCTAGGAGCTTCATTGGCCACAACAACCGGGCAGAAAGCTCCTACTGAGTGACACTACGCAGTCGTCTTCATCGAGGGCGAAATTAATCTTCAAATCCACGTTGCCTAGTTTCGCTCGTCTACGTGGAACATAACACACTGCATTTCCGGAAAGAAGCTCTCCGCCACCGTCAAGTCCTCAGCCTTCTCGAAATCCTTAAGCTACGAAGTATTATCTTCCCTCGAGTATAAAATTGGAAGAAGATGTGATTTTCTACCGAATAAGTAAAAGAATGAGTATTTTTATGCGCGTTTTAAGTGAAATATAATTGAATTTTTAAGGGCATCAAAAATTAATGGGAAAATTGCGTGCTACATAAGTAGTCATTTTTCGCAGAGTGTATTTTTGCATGCAGTCGGAAATAAGTTCGTTCGAAATAAGGCACCCTGAGGTAACTGGATCACTATATAATTATGCTGGATGATGATTATTGTTACAACCATACTTAATCAGTCTTTTCGAAATGAGAACGCATTTCGAAATTTCGGTTGACATTTCATGGGTTAGCCTACCTACTATACGTACCTACGACGGATAGAATGTTCTAATCTAGGCTTCCTTACTTTTTATGCAACTCGTTACCTAGTTTCGCTCGTCTAGGTGGAACATGACACATTGCATTTCCGCAAAGAAGCTCTCCACGACTGTCAAGTCCCCAGCCTTCTCAAAATCCTTAAACTGCGAACCTCGATGCATAGTGCCTCAGTAAAGATCCATCAGCGCGTGTCACAAACCAAACCTGTCACGTAGATGAACGGTGTTTATGGGAGGATACAGCCCTGAGGGGTGACAGAGATCGCAGTCTCCAACATCCACACGGCACATTCATCATGTTCTGTGGTAGGAGATTTCTATTGATCGAAGTACGTTCAGTGATGTTCCCGCACGTAGAATAGTCAACAGCGCGGAGTCCAGTTTGACAGCACCAGATGAGGAGACGGGGGTCACGAAAGGACTGTCGATAAAACTGATGGTAGCCGAGGGTGCCATCTGCCGACAGAGAGCCACTCCCACTTTTTTCCTGTCAGCAGTTTGCGGCACAAACAGAAACTATTGCGGATGACTGCGAAACCTCCTGACAAAGTGTCGAGAAGGCGTGTGTCGGATGGTTCTCACACAGGGATCTGTTGCACCTCCAGGCGGTCAGAGCAACGAGGGTTTATCTCTAGGCTGTGAGTACGGTATCTGTTCCATCAAATTTGAGTAAGAAGTACCTGTAGCCGAACGACTGTTATTATCGAACAGCCCTTGTAAATACCAATTAGACGGCACTCACTGTCGGATGATTTCGCATTCCCCCCGTTCATCAGACTGTACCTTTCAGCAAGGATCTGCTGGGTCGATGCTGGTGGGGACTCCGTAGATGCCCCGTCTGCTGTTGAGGAAGATAATCGCGGAAGTGCCTTCAAGGCAGGGAAGTGTGCGGAGTTGGGTCTAGCGAATGGACAGTCGCGGACCAACAGCGGCAGTTGCGGCAGGCTGCGGAGGGCGGAGATTGGGTAAACCACCCACCCAATCCAAGTCTGCAGGGTCCAATGACACGTCGAGCGAAAACTGTTGCCGCCGGGAACCCAGGTGGATACTGAGAAGTCCAATTGACATCAAACCCCATGGTGCAGAGGTCGGACACGTTGCCAGAGGCTACGGAGGAAGATATTAGGTACGTACCGCCTATCGGTCGTCAAGGGGCGCTCGAGACTGCATGGAATACTGTCCCGAGGTCCCATGTGTCGAGCAGTCAAGTCTAATCCCGCCCCCGCTTCACGACATTCACTGTTGGCAGTCTATTGAAGCGAAAAGTTGTGAATACGACCGGGGCAGTTGTAACGCCCCACGAACTGTATAGAGTTGCTTGAATGTAGTGGACCCTGGCCGCACGGATCTGGGAAAATATCCTGTGTCCTTCACTCTGTACCGCCAACCCCTTCTCCGAAAGTCATCGTGACGCTCTCTCTCTCGCTCTCACACATACTACGTCGGCACCTCCCACGGTCTTTCCCTGCAGTTACCAACAGCGCAGCATTCCTCAGCGGTTGTTTATCAGGCGTAGCAGAGTTACCTCTCCATCCAGACGGGTCATTGCCTTGCCGTAACTCAGTCCATTTTTACAATTAATCATTATCGTATGCTTTCGGTTTCCGTCTGTTTTCATTATACTTTTGCGTCTACTTACTTCTTTTTCATCATCATCATCATCATCATCATCATCATCATCATCATCATCATCATCATCATCATCATCATCATCATCATCATCATCATCATCATCATCATCATCATCATCATCATCATCATCATCATCATCATCATCATCATCATCATCATCATCATCATCACCACCACCACCACCACCACCATCATCACCACCACCACCATCATCATCATCATATTCTTCTTCTTCTTCTTCTTCTTCTTCTTCTTCTTCTACCCTTTCGCATGGACGCGCTATCGGCCGTATTCAGACCGGCCCTAGTCAGGACTTACTGCCAGCGATTCGCTGGCACGGTGTCTGCTATCCTCAACGTCATCAGTGGCTACGCAACATGCAGACTTTTAAGGTTCTGTCACTCGTAAAACAGAAAAAGGCGTTTTTTTGAAGTCTAACCACCGCAGCAAAGAGAACATGCGCCTTGGGGGCCCTGCAGACGGAACTGAATTATTTCCAGGAAATAGTCCTCAGAAGGATTCGCAGACTTGGTCTACATCTGGAGGCGCTTTTTTAAGTTGACGTTATCGTAAGTGAGGACAAACAGACACCTCCTGTCCATCTGATTTGAGAAATGTAATCAGAAGACGCCGTTGAGGTCTGTTCCAGGTCACCTGGTTGAAAGTGGAAATCGTCATCTCTACGAATCCTCTCGATTAAATGCTGAGACGCAAGTAAGCTTGCCCAATCGGTCAGGCAATGTTCGCACCTTTCCGTAAATACCTGCGGACGCGGTAACTTAACAGTTCAGGAGACCCCCAGATGACAGACGTCAACATGAACGTACGCACGTGTGAAGACAGCTACAGCAATCAGAAACTCAAGGTAGGCATGCCTAAACACAAGATCCTAGACCTCGGTCTCACGATCAACGGAAAAAAAGCTTCTTTCTCCCAGGCATGTTTTAATATACGCCATGTTTTCTCGCTGCCGACACTTTTGTATATAACAAATATCCTATTCTGGTCTTCGACTCATTCTACAACTGAAATGGTGAGCGTGGACTCAGCTTTTGATAGTTGGAAAGTCTTTGAGTGATCGATCGGCATTAAAAGGGTAGCATGTGAGCCATGTTTACTCAGATCGAGATCACAGTTTTCTGCATTCAAAAGCCTTTTCTACGGTCCCAGCGTTTCCCCTTCCCCCCGCGATACACGCCTTCCTTGGATTTGTAGCCCTGCTTATCACGAGAGTCAAGCTTAACCTCATACACATCCGACGATCCCATTGCTGACTTCCAGCTACTCGTTATTCTTAGTCTCCACAAGTATACTATTGATTTGAACTTCTGCAGTTATTTTATCAGGGAAAGCAGGCGTCGAGTAAACAGACGACGGCCACAAGAAGAACGACCCCAATTCTGGAGGGCTATTCCTCACATTAAAGGAGTCTCCGAGGCGATTTCCCCACTGTTACAACCCACCAGGGTAGGCAGTGCCCATCGACCCCAGGTAACAATTCGTCGCCCTTCGATGCAACCCACTGAAACCTCAGCAGTTGTCTATCAAATACGTTGTAACGATGGAGACTGCAACTACGTTGGGGAAACCGGAAAGGAATTGCAGACCCGCATACACATGCATAAAATGGCAACTTTGAGACTAGACCCAAACTCACAGCTTGCAAACCATATTAGAGAAACTGGCCACATTTGTGAATTTCAGGGAACACCCGTCGTAAACCGGGGTCGCGGGGAGGTCCAGATACCTGTTGATAAAGTCGGCATCTGAGTGGCAAGCCTCAAGTGTGAGGCGTTCTGCGCTTGAGGCTTGCTACTCAGATGCCGACTTTATCAACAGGTATGTAGACCCTCCCGCGGCCTAGAAAGTCCTACGTCACTGCATACGTCATGACCAAGACAAGACGACCACACACAGCGTAAAAATACCGAGCAAACACGGCCCGTTGATCAATTCACCCGAAAGGGGAGCACAGGTACAGCCGACCCCCATTGAGGTGACGACACACAACGCAGGAGGCCGCCAACATTCAAAAACAACGACCGGAAGGCCAGGACAGCGAAAGAAGAACAAAACCGATCAGCCCAAAGCCAAATAATTCGGCCGTTTAAAATTCTAGCCGATTTTTTTTCGCGCAACACGCTTTGATAATGGAGAGCCAACCAAACCCTCCGAAACGTCAGCCACACAATCCCTTTGATCCACTTGGATTTCTCAGATTATCGGCCCGGATCTCATACGTTTGCTAACCTGAACAAGATAAACACGAGGCCTAATCATATGCGGAAAGCCATCCTTAGCCCATCCGTCTTCCATGAAAACACGCAGTTGCAAAGAAGTAGTATACTTCGAAATTTACCGCAAAATTCGTCAGCCGAGACAGAGTTTTAGTCCTCCAATTACATGAGCGAGGTAGTGCCAGGCACCGCGGTGCTGTTTGGAGTCTGGGGGAAGTAGTGCCAACCAGTCACTGTCTGTTCCGTTTCACACATTGTCCCACACACCACAGTGCAGGCCGGATTGACACTGATTAACTTTGGCTTCACGAGGATAACCCACTCGTAGCGTATTCCGACACCCACTTCTTTCGTGGCGTGGATAATGCTATGCAGGCTGTACTGGAAGCAGCCGTTACTGTTGACGCTGAGAGTCTGCAGACTGGATTGGATGGCCTGGAGGAATTGGGGGTCTTTCATCTCGGCCGCAGTCAGTGGCACCTTTGCGCCCACTTGGCAGAAGGAAAAACCGGCGAGGCAGACGAGAACCACAGCCGTGAGCACCGTGTGAAGCGATTTCATGCTGAGGTAATCTTCGCTGGCGATCAGCCGGCTCGAGGGTTATATCGTAAAGGTCACTGACACGAATCCGGGTCAGGGTTCAGGCGACCTCAGTGAGACATTCGAACGCTAATCCGCTGATCGAGAATGCACACGGCTTAATGCGGATAAGATCGGCCACAGACGGCGTGAGGGGGAGGGAGAGTGTGATCATGCCCGCAGTAAGCAACCAGATGCTGGTAGGGGAAAGGACAGGCGTCAGCGTCGCACTCCCCAGCCTCGGCGACGCCACAGAGGCCGGCGTCGATGGCCCACCCAACAGGGTCGTAATTAACTATCACGCCGAGGTGGGGTGTGAATATCACGTGATCAGGCGAGATGACGGTCACTGACGCACAGGAGAGCGGTCACTGACGTAGGGGGCCAAAGATCATGCGGAGAGCACTGAGACACTGGAACACAATAATTCTCGTACCGTCACGTACTCATGACTTCGCCAAAGCCCCTTGGAGGTGGCTAATTCGACGATACATCTGAATTTCAGATCGTCTTATACACTGCGTCGCTCGTTAGTGAATGAAGGAAGGAGGACGCCCCTCGACTTGGTTCAGAAACCGAACTTGATGGACACGATAATGCTGTGTTTAGGGTTAGGGGTTAGTGTAAGGGGTTAGGGTTATGGGTTACGGAAACTATTTATCAACCACTCAAAGTACAACCGCGCATTCCCAATAGCTCCTCTTTTGCATACAATTAGTTAAGCTCGTCGCCTGTGCGTTCCCTGGCCCCACCTGTAAAAACCCCCGTTACCACTGGTCTCGTATTACAGGTGGCTGGGCTTGTTTACCTCAGATGCGGCTACATAACTATATCTGACACACGACTAGGGCTGATTGCAGAACGGGATACTCGCCGTCTGTATTCTCCGAAGTTGTCGTCTCGGAACCTCACAGGCGATTAATAATCAATGAGATAATGATCAATAAGCGGCAACTAACAAGCAGATTTGACTTGGATGAGCGTTTATCTCAAGTTAATTAGTCCTTGCCAGTAAAACACATTCCGACACGTGAATGCGGGAATCTTGCGGAGCCCAGTCACCTAGTTCACGATCTGTTAGATGCTACCGGGACTGTGGAAGGTCACTGGCAGCAGCAGTTTACAAATCAGGCCTGGATGCAGGGCGTAACGTGGATCGTCCGTTTTGTTCTGGAGCCACTGTCTGCACCTCACGTCGGCGATCGCGTGTCAACGTTCCCAAAAAGATGATGGAAGCTGGAATGATCGTTTATTCCCTATTTGGTGGATAATGGTAGAGAGAAACTACCGTCTAGTCACGCCATCTGATAGAAGCCTTATTAGATTATTCAATAAATGGAAAGTCCCGCCACTTTTCCAACATCCAAAATTGTCCATTCATCGAGCAGAACAAGAGGACGTAAACTGGTGTTTGTATAGTCAAGGACTCGCTAATAATTATTTCGGTAGGGATAATTCATGTACGAACCTTCTTCACCCTCGCCAGAACAAGAGAATGCAAATGTCCCTCAATACAGGTGGCTTTTCGTAACATGGCGTTAGGGTTAAAACTAGACTCAGGCACAGCGCCGCCTGCATCACGCGGCCGGTGCGAACAAATACGACAGTTCCACCGTCATTACCAGGGATTAGAGTTAGGGCTAGGGGCTAGGACAACTATTTCTCAATCCCTCAAAGTACAATCGCGCATTCCCAAAAACTTCTCTTTTGCATACAACTACTTGACCTCATCGCCTGTGCGTTCCCCGGTCCCACCTTTAAAAACCCACTATTACCACCGCTCTCGTATTACAGGTGGCAGGGGTTGGTTTACCGCATCTGACACAAAATTTTGCACACGTGTATAAGTTGTTCCTTAGAATCGGAATACCATGTCCTTTGTGCCATATTAGGTTCACGTTGTCAATTCCGCGTCGCTTCTTATGCGTACAACCCCAACAAACTCTTGGATATTTCGTTTCTTGACAAGCGCTTCAAATTTCAATAAAGGTTCATTAACGTGGGATGTTGTGAACTCAGACATGATTTTATTATTTTCGAACTTAATTTTAATGGGTTTTGACGTTTAACTCGGCACAAGCAATAGTACTGGTTGATTTGCTTGAATAAAAAGTAGTCGGGTTGTGTAAACCCGGTAAGCTCGTATCCTTTGAAAAAGAATACTCAAAACGCCTTTCCGACTGCCCCCTGTTCGCTCAACAACATGAGCAAATCTGAATGAGCCCGCAAAATTAATTTGAAAAGAGTTGGAATTTAAAATTTCTTGTGTAAAGATGGAATTTTATTTAGCGAAACAAGCTACTTAATAAATTGTTTTTGCTCCAGCAAATTTGCGGCTTTCTATCGTTATAATTTATATGCACTCATTTGGCCTTACAGGACGGGAATTACGCTTTGTTGGATGGTATACGAAATCGTCTAAGTCAGGCGGTTTGCAGGTTTAAACAAAGTCTTTCATCTCTCAGGGGTTCGTTTCCGCTCTTTTTATTTGACTCCTTTAAAGACTGTGGGGTGTGTAATGTCAACATGTACACAGCCGACTTCTTGTCCGAATTTTAGACGAAAAGGCGGAGCGTGAAAAGACAAATATGAACCGCGAGGTAATGTTCTATTTTCTTTAAACACGATCTTCAAAATCGTTATTTCTTTTGTCTTGTTCACTTAAGTCTCTACTACTTTCGCAAGCTAAAAATCTGAACTGACTCAAAAATTGGTACTTTCTGTGCGAAAGTTGTGTAAATAAACGTAAACCACAGTTTCTGCTCATTAGAGGAGAAGATTAGTTGCAGAAGGATAGTACTTGAGTATTAGGAACCTGATATCTGATGCAGACATTAGTGACCATATTTCAAAGCAGAACAAGAGGATGTAAACTGGTGTTTGTATGGCCGAGGACTCGATAATAATTAGTTCAGTAGGGATTGTTTATGTGCGAACCTACTTCACCCTCGGTAGGACAAGGGAATAGAAATAATCCTCGATACAGTTGGCTTTTCGTTACATGCCAGGGAAAAAGGGTTGGCGGTAAGGTGAAAACTAGACCCACTTTTGCGTTAGGCTTAAAGTTAGGACTAGGTAGCCTTCCCTAAATCAAGCACAGTGCAACCTGCATCACGCGATTGATGCGAACACAGTTCGACCGTCGTCGCCGACGGTGTCCAGCGTGTGATTCACAGCATGAGGAAACAGGGACGCTAACTTTCACTTGGTTTAGTTTACAGTGAGTGTAGACTTGCGCAGCATTTACTGCACTCTCTCCTCCCTCCAACCTGGACTCCGTGCCAAGACAGAGTCAAGGAGATCGGAGGTGAGCGAGGACGCAGGTGGATGGTGCGTTCGAGTCCTCACCTTGGCGCTCAACCCCACACCTCCTGATCTATGCAGCAAATAAGCAGGCTTTTGACCAAAAACAGCAACAACAATGGGGAAGGACGGGGTCCAAGTGTGCGCGACGTCTGTCGGCAACCGGGTCTGGCATCGCACCCCAAAGTACTGACATTCGTTATGGTGCGCAATCCGATAACGCCTGCCAGAATCCGATATGGCCCCCGTGTTGGTCTGGCGTATCTACCACGTGGCGAACACATAACCGTTACCGAAGCGCTTCGAGTCGCCACATTGGCACATGTTAACTTTTCTACCTTGCGAAACCACCTACTGAAATCGTGAATATGCTGTCTGAGCAGACCATTTTGGGTTTCCAATGAGAACCACTCCGGCAGTCCAAAACATCCGGTTAGAAGAACTTGCCATCTTGAGCCGTAAACATCGTTGCTTTCTGTAGCTGGAGTGCTTTCACGGTAGGGTTACGGGGCTTGATCGTCTGGTTGCGTATTGGGAGTCGATGTGGAGCCCTTACACAGGGTTGCGTAGCGTATAATTTGTTATGCATCAACCTCTACTGCTAACCTCACACTTATCGAAAAAATCTAATGAACGTGTTCAGGGCACAGCTCCACCTGTCCTCCTCGCCTCCAGTCTTCTTGACACGGGGGGGGGGCAGGCGGGGGAGGAGAAGGGTGTACCGTAAATGCTGCGCAAGTCCTCTCCCGCCAACAGTTGACTCATACTCAAGTCACCGTGCCTGCTTCAGATTGTTGTGGAACACACGGTGGACATCGTCGGATGCGAAGGTCGAACTACCATTACATGCCGCAGGAGATAGCCGACAAAGGCAATGGAAACTGGAGTGATATTTCTAGCTTATTAGTCGTCGTCAGCCAAACATGCCCAACCCAGGTTTGCTACTCCTGGGTCTTAAATTCGCATTCTTTGGTCAGAGGGCGTTGTGAGTATCCCAAAGCCCTGCCAATTGAGCCATGAGCAACGGAGGAAGGGCAAGAGTGGTTGGGATTGTTGTCCAGCCTTACCCGACCTGGACTTTGTTCTGAATAAACTTTACGAAGCGGAATCTTCTTTATATTTTTCTGGAACAGCGGCCATGCTCCATGCAGAATATAAGGACCAATAACAGGAATACAGGCTAGTTAAATGGCGACGTTTTACCTGCCTGGATGAGCATACGAATTCGAAAGTTTGTCAAAGGAGAGCGGGAATACTGTGCTTATCTACTTTCTGCTTGATGTCATATTTCAGCATTTCAAACCACGCCTTCTGAAGTTGGGCGCGGTCTGCAGACTGAAAATGTTTCATACGAGAAAACAATCCCCTTAGATGCAATTGCATTAGGCTTGAGCCCCTAATTAGACATGAAAGTTCGACGGAACGACGAATTCCACCTCGCGCACCATACAGTGAGTGACCGATCTCATGAAATCTTGGCTGAAATTCTGAAATGCGTTTTCGATTAGGAAGGATTACTTGGTCGCGGTTGTAATACTGATTACCTTAAGGCATACTCTTAGAACATTTCGGACTCTGTAGGATGTCGGCTTTTAAATGAACTTCTTTTCAATCTCCTGTAGAAAGCGTACTCGGTCAAAAATGACTACTTAATTAGCATGCATTTTTCCCATTGATTT